AAAGAGGGAGGGAGGGGGGAGAAGGAAACAGGGAGGGAGGGGGAGAAGGAAACAGGGAAGAAGGGGGAAGAAAGAAACAGGGAGGGGGAAGAAAGAAATAGGGAGGGGAGGGGGGAAGAAAGAAACTGACAGGGGAGGGGGGAGAAAGAAACTGACAGGGGGGAGAAAGAAACTAACAGGGGGGAGAAAGAAACTAACAGGGGGGGGAGACATTGACGGGGAGAGAGAAATTGACAGGGAGGGGGGAGTGACAGGGGAGGGAGGGGGAATGAGAGTAACAAGGGAGGGGGGGAGAAGAGAGTGACAAGGGAGGGGGGAGAGATTGACATCCATCACACACATACACACACAATCACACACAATGCACCCCTTACACACAAAGACAATGAACCCCTTGCACACAGAAAAACACACAATGCATTACACACACAATGCATTACACACACACACGCAATGCAACCCTTACACACAATGCATCCCTTGCACACACAGAAACACACAATGCATTCCTTACACACACTCAATGCACCCCTTACAGACTCACACACTTCATCCCTTACATACACAGAAACACACCTTGCAGCCCTTACACATACAAACACAGATTCACAAAATGCATTCCTTACACACAAATCAGGACATTCCCTACACACTCCATCCCCTGTGAACAAACTCATTGGTGGAAAATGAAGGTGGACCCTGGGACCCAGACCTTGAGCTGTGTAAAGGGCCCCCAAAAAATGGAGCTGCTTCTCGTTCTCCCAGAACATTGATTTGTGTGACCACAGTTACAAACAGCCTCCAGAGATCCTGTTATACACCAGACCAGTGGAGCCAGACTGCAGCTAGAGCCCATCATCATCCTCATCTGCTTGTAAGTAGGTAATCTAGTATATTATTCGTGGCACTAATCTCTAATTTACCTCACATTAAAGAAACACTATAGTCCCCAGAACCACTGCACCTTAATGTAGTGGTCCTGGTGTCTATAGCCTGTCCCTGCAGGCCTTTTAATGTAAACACAGCGGCACTGCAGCACTAGCGTTAGTTAACATGGCAGGTCATATGGGTGGGGCATTGCGATGTCACGGGGGGGAGGAGGGGGGCGTCAAACTTTACTTTTGCCTAGGGCGGCAAAATTCCTTGCACCGGCCCTGTTTGTAAGGTAGTAAGGCAATTGTTGATCATTAATTCCAGAACCAGGGTACCATACTTCTCTTGCCTACCATGGTCACTGGTCTCCCATATCAGTGCTTCCATAAACAAAACAGTTGGTTACATTAAGGTTACTAGCAATACTCTCTGCCAGATCAGTAAACAAGTTCTTAACTGTATAAGCGATTCCAACTTCATCGCTCATTTCTTCATAAAATGAGTGAAATACTTGATAGGTTTGGGCACTCAAGGCCTCTGTTTCAAGTCCTATATATATATGATGGCCCCAGGGTCTGCCCCAGTACCGTATATCTGGAAGCCATAAAGGTTTCCAAACTTACTAATGAACTGGTGGGGTTTAAAATGGTGAGATGAACAGGGTTACACTCCATTGATTTACAATGGGGAGTGGTAGATAGCCTTTGGATTATTGGGCCTTGATCTCTAGTGTTTCCCCAGGTGGCCCAACCTACACACGACCAGTATGGGCAAAAGTTAAAATCCCTATTCTGACAATCAGGATCTAGGTTTTTTTTTACTAGAACACAAGTAGTTATCATTGAACCCATAGGTCCGTACCCAATCCAAGTAGCTGCATCTATTCCTGAAATTGCTTTACAAGCATCAAAAAGTAAGATGCCCTGGGATGTGATGGCACTAATTAATGTCTTATTTATTAAAGTCCCCTGGGACTGTGTATTTCAGAGAATAAACCAAATTGTACGAGGTTGAAGTCGTGGGTCAAAACATTTTGGTTTTCCTGGAGCTGGCTGGCAGACACTATAACCAGTGTCTAAGTATCTGCATTTAGACACAGATCCTTTGCACTCATAGTGAGAGTGCCAAATGAGGGTTTGGGATATCTGATTTCCTGTTCTAGTGGTCTTAAAACATTTACTGCAACTTGTTGGATCAGATCCCACCCACTGCATAAACAACAATAAAACAAACAGGAAAAACACGCATTATAGCAGAAGTGATCCTATAATTTTTCGGCACCTCAGCTTCCGGATGTGAGGGCTGCAAGGAATGTAGTACGTCTGATCCTCTGTTCCCTTCACAGTGGTCCCTTAGGGATGCTCTGACAATGTACCATTGGTAGGTGGTCAGGCGTTATTATGGCCATCAAAACACCTACTTGTAGCTTTTTAATGTCCACTCGATACACAGGATACACAGGTGTGGACTTGAAGTTATGTTTCTGTGCTTGGTACTGCTTGGTCATGTCCTTGTGACTGAGTGATGCGATTTAACCGAATTTTGCAAGGGTTCTTTGGATCAGGGGTGGCTTGCAGCTGCAGCTGTTCTAACCCTAGAGTAATGTATCCAGGGTGCCACTTCTGCCACCTTTACAGCTGTTAGGGTAGATAAAAGAACAGTGTAAGGACCTCTCCAATTGGAGCCCAAGGGAACAATATTCAATTCTTTAATCCACACTCAGTCACCCGGGTGGTAGAGGTGGACGGGTTGATATATATTGACAGGCATCCAATCCTGCACCCATTTCTGACCCTGTTCCATAGTTTTATCTAATTCTATAACTTGTTGCCGGGTGATATTATCACCCAGCTGACATACGTCGCCTCGTAGGTGACCGATTATAGGTGTTGGGCGACTGTACATGATTTCGAATGGGGATAGACCCATACTTCTGGTGGGGGTACTACGAATGCGTAAAAGTGCTACTGGCAGTAGGATATTTCATTTGAGCTGAGTTTCTTGGCACATTTTGGCCAGTTGGATCTTTATTGTTCTATTCATTTTTCCACTTTTCCAGAACACTGAGGATATTATTTTTAAACCTTTGCCTCTCTAATTTAAGACTATGTCCTCTTGTTGTGGTAGTTTTTCTTCTTTTAAATAGTAGGTTCACCGCATATAGGTGTAGAGGTGTTTGAGATTTTGGTGCGAGCATTTACAGGTCCCTATTTGCATGTGTATGATGAGCCCATGGTTCCCCGAGAATCAAGCAGAGATCTGTGGATATTTGAGCCTAGTATGCAGGGTAGTCCAGGGTACCATCTGGGTCCCCCAGGCTTGGCATGTGTGTATTGGTTCAGTTGCCGTTCCCTCCCCCCTCCCTCCTCCCCCGTGTGTTTAGCCGGTTTTGGTCAAGAGGGGTGATGTCCCCTCCCTCCTCCACCCCACCACCTCTGGTTGTGTGGAGTAATCAACTAAGGTTTTGGCGAGTAACCGTGTGGCTGTGTGGATGTGAGTGGGGCATATGGGTTATTGGGGGTAAGTGGTGAGAGTAGTTTGTCCCCCCGCCTCATTGAAGCTATGTGCCTTGAGGCGTGGCAATTTGTGGATCACCCACGGCGATACCCAACGTGACTCCACAGGGTTCGGGGTATTGGCCGTTGGGGACCTGGTATTTGATGTTCTCTTTGCTAGTCCGCAGATTGTGATTTGTCACCCCCTCTGTGGAGATGGTAAGACCACGGTGAGTTACCATGGTATTTGCAGTCTTGCTGTCTTCGGTATGGGTTAGTGTTAGTATCGTGGGGCTCTTGTGTTGCTACAGTCTTCGATGGGTGTATGTCATGTGGGGCTCGGTGTGGGTCAAGTCAAGTGGTGCATTGGATAGTCTTGTTGTCACGGTTTCCACCTGGTTCAAGGCAGGTGATCGGGTATGGTGCGTAGTTATCCTGCGTTGACATCTAGGGGTGAGCTCCTCTAGTGAGCACAACTCTTCCATGTGTTGGTACCATAAGTGGTAGTGTCTGCTTATTCCAGTAGAGTGGCACCAGGCTCTTAGCCACATTGAGGATCCTGATCGTTAGGGATTTTTTATATACAGAGGAGCGCAGTTTTCTGTGGTGCAAGAGAAGGGGTGCCGGTTGCAGTGGTGTAGGGTCACCTGAGAATCGTTGCACTATTTAGTGAATGGTTGTCCAATATGGTTGGATCAGGGGGCATTCCCACCATAGTTGTATAAGTGTACCTGTTTCTTTGCCACATCTCCGGCATTTATCATCTGTGGTGGGGTTGAATGAGTGTATGGATTGTGGGGTGCGATACCACTGTGCGAGTAATTTGTATGCGGTTTCCTGCACTCCACTGGAGGGGGCGCAGTGTTGCGTGAGGTCACATATTTTGGACCACAGTTGCGGTGTGAATGTGGTGTTTAGTGCTTCCTCCCATTTCCCCTTGAACCGCAGGCTAGGTGTTTTCCAGAGTCTCATGATCATACTGTAGAGGATTGATAAACCCTGTACTAGTGGTTCAGGATCGTCGCATAGTGCCTCAAATTCTGTGAGGTATCTCGAGACAAGTGTCCAGGGATGGTTGAAGATATGAAGTCTGTCAATTGTCTGTATCTAAAGCGAAGCATAAAGTGTGATGTGTCTGTCGTTGCTAGTGATTCGATCGTCGGACATTCCCACCTGTCATGGCATGGCGGATCCTGGGGAGCCATTGTCCCAGCAGTCTTTGGGAGGGAAGGCCATGTTGTGAACAATGGGCAGCAGGGGGGATGGCGAGGTAGTAAGTGTGAGCGTGAATGCTTGCTTGTGCCAAACTTGCAAGGTCGCTCTGATGAGGGGATGGGGTGCCGCCAGTTGTGTGTTGTGTTGTTGGTCTAGCCATGGTAGGACAGAGATTGGCCTACCGATCATGTCTGATTCTATGTCCTTCCATAGTTTGGCCACTCTGTGTTTGGTCCACTCTGTTATCTGCAAGAGGTGTGTAGCTCGGTAGTATTCTCTGAAGTCTGGCAGGGCCAGGCCTCCCTCATCTTTTGGCCGCATGAGGGTATTGTGTTTAATCCTGGCTTTGAGTTTGTGCCAGACGAAGCGTAGGATCAGTGAGCGAAGAGAGGTAAAGAAGGCCTCCGGGATGGTTATGGGTATCATCTGGAATAGGAAATTATCCTGGGCGGGGTATTCATCTTGATGACTCCCACCCTGCCAATCCAGGAGAGGTGCAGTTTAGACCATTCCTCTAGGTATTTGCGTAGAGTGGTCAGTAGAGGTTGGAAGTTGGCCTGGTAGAGTTGTGTGAGGTATTTCAGGGTTGTATCAGACCACTGAAACATAAATCATAGTTAGAGAGCTCTCGCCTTGTTCTATGGGATGGAGACATTCAGGATCGTTGATTTTGTATCATTTATTTTAATGTTCGAGAGTGTACCGTATTCTGCAAATTCTGATATGATGACTGGTAGGGATGTTTCGGGATTGGTAATTAAAAACAAGAGGTCGTCGGCATAATCTGTGACTGAGTGTCTTGTGTCGCCCACCCGGAGCCCCGATATATCGGGATTGCTCCGTATAGCTTTTAGGAAGGGTTCGAGGGCAAGGACAAAGAGCAAGGGCGTCAGCGGGCACTCCTGTTGGGTGTTGTTGCAGATCGAGAAGGGTTCTGTGAAGGCTCCGTTGACACATACTCGCACTGTAGGTGTTGTGTATAGCGCTCCGATCCAGCCCATC